CCCAGAAGCTTCTCTTAAACATGAGTTTGAATTATGTCCAAATTCTAAAATTGAGAAGCCTCTGGAATTCCAGTTTTCTGGCATCATCCAAGCTTTAAGTTGTATTGGGAAAGTTCATAATAACAGAAAATTGGTCTTCCTCAATTCAGCAGGGGAGAGAACCATGGTCTTTTGATACAAAATCTTGGTCTCTTAATTATTTGCTTCAGGTCACATTTACGAATATTAGGGATTCATCCTATATCACAGGGTTTTTTTTTTACCTCATTTAGAAGAGTTCTTTATTTATAATATGTACTGAGATGTGTCATGCCAGGTGGACTGATTTTTGTAGCTTTAGAAATTGTTTAGTTTAAATTTCTACAATATTTTAACTTTACCATGAATTTTACTTGGACTGGAGCGATATCACAGCAGTAGGACCTTTGCTTTGTGCGTGGCCAGCCCGGCTGAGCCAGATTCGATTCCTCCACCCCTCTCAGAGAGCCCGGTACGCTACAGAGAGTATCTTGCCCGCACAGCAAAGCCTGGCAAGCTACCGTGACGTATTCAATAGGTCAAACACAGTAACAACAAGTCTCACAATGGAGACGTTACTGGGCCCACTCGAGCAAATCGATGAACAACGGGAGGACAGTGATACAGTTATACAGTGATACTTCAAACATGGGATTGCATGTGTGTGTAAGTGAATTTATTTCCAAAAGAATATATGAAAATTACCTTTCTTTACTCACATACATCTTTTCCTTGAATATTTTGTTTAGACTCAGTAAGTTACTTCTATACATTGCATTTGTTCTTCCAGAAAGTTCGTGAAATTGTGTTCATAGTCTTAAATTATGATTAAAAATTAAAACAATTAAAGTTTAACTTGCAAATTACTAAGCTATAATGAGAACTTGTGTATTTTGTTTAAAATGTGAAAACAGGGATTCAGGGAGAGAGTACAGTGGTTAAGATACCCCCTTTGCATGTGGCCAATAGCACAGCGGGTAGGGCGTTCGCCTTACAAGCGGCCAACATGGCCGACCCGAGTTCGATTCCTCCGCCCCTCTCGGGGAGCCCGGCAAGCTACCGAGAGTATTCGATACGCCAGACACAGTAACAACAAAGTCTTCAATGGAGACGTTACTGGGCCCGCTCGAGCAAATCGACGATCAACGGGAGGGCCTTTACCTTTACCTTTATGGCACTATAAAGATCTCTAAGCTTTGCAGGAAGTGACTTCTGAACACGGAACCCATAGGAGCCTCCGAGCACTGCCAAATGCGTTCCAAAACCCAAACAAGTATTTGAAAATTGAATCAGACTGTACACTCAACTTTTGAGTCTTTGCATTCTAAATTTTTTTTCTTTTTGGGTCACACCCGGCAATGCACAGGGTTGGCGGTGCTGGGGGAACCGTATGAGATGCTGGGAATTGAACCTGGGTTGGCCGTGTGCAAGGCCAACGCCCTACCCGCTGCACTATTGCTCCAATCCCTTGCATTCTAAATATTGAGAAACTTACTCCATTTCATTTTTTCATTTCTAATGATGAGTCAAAACTGACATATGGCATTGAAGAATGTATACAATACAATATATATGTAGGAAAATGCGAAAACAATCTGGTCAATTATCCCTTTCATTGCCCACACAATTATCATTATTATTATTTTTTTCTATAGTGAAGTCATTAAGAGGGATTTTTAGCAATGTCCAAGTATATCATACAGAATTTTTCACTGTAGTCATCATGTTCTAGAGTAGCTTCTCAAAGCTTATTTATTCTATAAATATATGGTTCGTTTCAACCAAAATATTCTTTTCCTACATACCTCAGCGGGTAGCAACTATTAATCTACTCTTTATATTTATATACTTGGTTTTTAAAGATGCCATATATTTTTGAATCATGGTCTTATTTCACTTAACAGACTTGCTCACGCACCTTCAGTGCTGCTACCAATGACGTCATTTCCCTTTTTGTTAAATTCCATTCATATGTGTGTCTGAACGCACGCAAGTCCCTATTCATATCTCCATTCCCGTCTCCATGATCATTCACCAAAGATCGACACTTGGACTGCTCCCATGAGTTTTGGCTAGTGTGAATGCTACTAGTATAAATATCTAGCAGAAACCTCTTTAAGATAATGATTCATTATAATTAGTTTATTTTTTATCAAGGGACCATGCTTTACAAAATTATTCAAAGTTGTGTTTCAGTTACACAATGTTCCAATGTTCCGACACCAATCTCACCTCCACCAATATTCCCCAGTCTCCCTCCCAGCCCCAGAGACATTCCTTTGGATGTAAAATCAGGGTTGGATTATGGGGACCCAAGATTATTTTCTCACAAAGTTACTGCACTAATTTTTATTCCCACACACAGTGCATAAGTGCATTTTATTCTTTTTTTTTATTAGTGAAAAACCATGAGGTACAGTTATAGGCTTACAAATTTTGTGCTTGGGTTTCAGTTATACAATGATCAAGTGCCCATCCCTCCACCAGTGCCCGTCATCCATCCCCACGGGCCCCAGCATCCCCCCCCAACCCTCATTCCCCCCACCCCCCATCTCATCCTGCCTCTGTGGCAGGGTATTCCCCCTTGTTTTCTCTCTCTTCTTTTGGGTACTGTGTTTTGCAAGAGAGGCTTTGAGTGGCAATCATGTTTGGTCTATCGACTACTTTTAGCATGCTTCTCCCACCCTGGGAGGGCCCTCACAACACCCTTACCACCCTCAACTTGGTTTACTTGTCATCTTTTTTTTTTTTAAAAGAAAGCCATTCTACAGGATGGAGGTGATATCTCATTATTTTGATTGGCCTCTCCTTGATTACTAGTGATGTTGACTACATGTAGCTATTGGACATTTATCTTCTTTGGGAAAATATCTATTCAGATCCTCTGCTCAATTTCTATTGGAATATTTGTATTTTGTTATTGATTTGTAAGCCTTCCTGGTGTACTTTGGACAGTAACTCACTGTCAGGTAAAGGGTTTGAAAATATTTCCTTCCACCAGAGTATTCTTCTTTGTTGATTACATCCTTCACTGTTGAAATATTTGCCTGATATTGTTCCTCTTTAATATTTTTATCTGTCTTGAGTGTCATATCCAAATAATCATATGTGAACCAATGTCAAGGCCATTAGTTTCCACATGTTTTCCTAAGTATTGTGATTCTGTTGTTATGTTTCCATTTTTTATTCATTGTGTGCTAATATATGTGAGTCTTATAAGACAAAAGTTCAATATTATTCGTTTACTTGGGTAATAAAATCGGTAACAAGCACCATTCTTAACCTACTTTTAATTCTCAACAGTATCTTGTGAACTCATATGAATAGTATCAGTTTCCCATATACTCATAAGTTTCTATCAATTTTTAGGGCTTTGGAGAATAGTCCTGACTGTGTCAGGGTTTAGTCCTGGCTCTGCTCAGACCCTCGACGGGATTTGAGGAACCGTATGGGGAGCTAAAGTTCAAACCCAGGCTAGCCATGAGTAAGTGCCATCCCCACTGTACTATCACTCTGGCCAGGCTTCCAAATTCTTAAACTGGTTCCATGATCTATTTTCTTTCCATGCCAGTATCATGCTTATCATCAATATGATCTTGAAATAAAATTTGAAGGCAAGAAGTATGATGCCTCCAGCTCTCTTCATTATGAGGGATGCTTTGACTCTAGGATGACCAGATACCAATTGAGAAGTATTTCTACATATTTGGGGAACTGTTGGAATTTTGAGAACAATTGGATAGACCAGCTCCAGAGAGATAGTAGAGTGGGTAGACCATTTGCCTTAAATGCAGCAAACCGAGCACCATATCGAGTACCCCAGCCCCTACCAGAAGTGGTCCCTAAACATAGAGCTAGGAATAAGCCCTGAACATAATCAAGGGAGACTCCCCACACCAAAAAAATATTGTGGATACATATTTTTTATTAAAAGCATGTCTCACTACTATTCTCTCAATAAAGGTGCACAAAATTTACTTTAATTTACTAATTAGAATAAATTATTCTCAAGACATCCGCATAGCCCTTGGGCACTGCTGAAAGTAGCAAATCCCCCACCCTCAAAAAATAAATAAATAAATAAATAAACATAGTCCATAATACAAGTCAAAATTTTGATATTTTTTAGATCGAAGTTAAGAAAATTTCAGCCCCACACCAGACTGTTTCACTCTGGGCTCCCCAGAGTAGGGCGGGTGAGAGCCCTCCCCACCCCCAAGAGACCCAGTCCCAGCAGCCGAAAACTCCCAGAACTCAACCACCACCATGCCCATGACTTCTCTCCACGTACTCGGTCAAGCCTCACCCACGAGTGAATGTATTCCTGAACACTTCATAGGACACACCTTACCTATATTCCAAGAGTACCACACCACATTTGATGGAGTTCAAAAAAGTAGGCAATCAATCTTAGAGAGAATTTTTTTTACAGATATACATATAAAAGCACACATGACTCAATCTTGAACAACATGCTAGTGATCTCTTATCACAAGAAGGGCTTAATGGTCCGTGGGTGAAATACAACAATCTTCACACTCTTTCCTCTAAGGAAACTTTTTTGGAGCATTTTCAGTGGTTTTTCAGAACAAACAATACAAAGTATATAATTTGGGTTCTGCTTTGGGACAGGGATTGGAGTTTGGGGTGGAAACATCTGAAATATGGTGGTGGGAAGGTATAATGGTGGTGGGATTGGTGTTTGAATATTAAGTGTAATCAAATATTGTGAACTACTTTATACAATAAAAAAATTTAAAGAAAATTTCAGCATAAATTATTACAAAAAAAGTCCCACCTACCAAGAGTGGAAAGAGCTTATTAAGGTGAAGTTTAGAAGCTATATAGAGTACGTTATATTTAAAAACTGATTAGAAGAGTAAACTAAAGTACAAAGTGCTCGCCTCCTTTTCAGAGCCACCTCTGAAAAGAAATCACAGTTTCTGATGCTCTTTCTCTACACCATGCAACCGACTTTGTCCTCAAGACAGCAGAAGTTTTTTTCTCTCTTTTCCTATCAGAATTCTCAATGCCCCCCTTATGTCTTTGTTCCTCAGACTGTAGATGAAGGGGTTCAGCATGGGGGTGACTACCGTGTAGATCACTGAGGCTTTTGCACTGGAGTATGAGCTGTGAGCACCAGCAGAGCTCAGATAAACGCCAATGGCTGAGCAGTAAAACAAGGAAACCACGAAGAGGTGTGATGCACAGGTGGAAAAGGCTTTATACTTGCCCTGAGCCGAAGAGATTCTCCGGATGGAAGAAATGATCTTAGAGTAAGAGTAAAGGATGCCAGTCAGGGAGCTCCCACCCAAAAGGAAAACCATCAAATATATCACCAAGTAATTCAGAGTGGTGTCAGAACAGGCAAGTTGGACCACCTTATTGAGCTCACACAAAAAATGGCGCAATCTCACTCGTTTGCAAAAGGACAACCTTAGCACCAATAAACTTTCTATCAAGGAATGCAGGAAACTCGTAACCCAGCACACCAGAACCAGCAGCCCACATTGCTGAGGATTCATGATGACTGTGTAGTACAGGGGGTGACAAATGGCCACGAAGCGGTCATAGGCCATCACAACCAGGAGAAAGTTGTCCAGTCCTGCAAAGAAATGGAAGAAAAACATCTGGGTGATGCAAGCTCGGAAGGTGATGGCCTTGCTGTGTGCTTGGATGTTCACCAGCATCTTGAGGACGGTGGTAGACGTAATACAGATGTCCACAAAAGACAGGTTGGCAAGAAAGAAGTACATGGGGGTGTGGAGATGAAAGTCTGTGATGACGGCCAGGATGAGGAGTAAGTTTCCAAGCACAGTGATCAGGTACATAGACAGGAAAAGCCCAAATATGAGGGACTGCAACTCTGATCCCTCTGAAAATCCTAGCAGAAGAAACTCTGTAATGCCAGTTTTGTTCTCTGGTTCCATGACATAGAGGAAAACTATAAAGCATGAGGAAAATTACATCATTTTTAAATATCTACTGGTGGAAGCATTGGGTGTTGGAACATGTATGACTAATACCCAACCATGAACAGCTTTGTAAATCTGTATCTCAAGGTGATTTAATACAAAAAAAAAAAAAAAAGAAGGGGGGCTGGAGTGATAGCACAGCAGGTAGGGCATTTGCCTTGCATGCGACCAACCCGGGTTCGATTCCCAGCATCCCATATGGTCCCCCGAGCATCGCTAGGAGTAATTCCTGAGTGCAGAGCCAGGAGTAACCCCTGAGCATCGCTGGGTGTGACCCAAAAAGATTAAAATAAAATAAAATAAAATAAAAGACTCAAATTACAGAGCAAAAATATCAGCCAGTAGATGGCCCTCGAGAGAAGATTTTGTTCAGTTCATGAGCTTCCAATTCTAGGTAAATTTATAGAGTGTGGAACTTGTGAGCGAGGAAATCCCTCTTCCTGGAAACTTTTGTAGCAGCAGTGGGTTGATGCCCCCCTTCCTCCTATTCCCTGACTCCCTCTCTCATCATATTAAAGAGAAACTTTAATGTGACTCCTGGTGGTGCCTGGGGGACCATATGGGATGCTGGGAATTGAACTCAGGTTTGCCATGTACAAGGCAAATGCCCTACCCACCCAGCCCCGTCAAGGAACTGGAGCAATAGCCCAGTGGGTAGAGTGTTCACCTAGCACGAGGCCGACCCAGGTTTGGTTCCTTCGCCCCTCTCAGAGAGCCTGGCAAGCTACAGAGAGTATCTCACCCGCACAGCAAAGCCTGGCAAGCTACCTGTGACATATTCAATGTGCCACAAACACAGTTAACAACAAGTCTCACAATGGAGATGTTACTGGGCCCACTTGAACAAATCGATGAGCAATGGGAGGACAGTGACAGTGACAATTTGAGTCATTTTGGCAGATATAATCCAGAAACTACTAGTTGAAATGAACTTACTTATTCCACTAGGTTGATATGTAAACACACACACACACACACACACACACATACAAACACACACCATAGTCACTCACCCCCAGTGGAGGATGCCCCTCCAGCTCTTTCCCACCATGCCCTGACCAGTCCAATCCTACACATTAAGGAGGGAATGAATTCAGTACAAGCTGGTCAGATCCATGGCTGGTGCACTCACCTGGGTGGGATTTCTGATACAAAATCCTCTGACTTGAAACACAGATCCCTCCCCAGGTGGCTGAGGGTAGAACCTGAATCCCAGACAAGACAACAAGAAGGACGGAAGCATTGGTCCCTCAGACAGACTCAGGATGCACAGACACAGTACTCCTCTGCCCAGCCCAGGGGGATCCGAGGGAGGCACTGGGCAGGGGAGGTATTTACAGTTCTCTGTGTCTGCTCATTAGTCACAGTACGTTGCCATTCTGTCACTTAATTGTGTGGCCACTATGCACATGATTTCCCTGTGGGTCACTGCTCTGGAGAAAAGCAAATTTTGCCGCCTGAATCTCTATTCCTGAGGGAGCTAGTCAAGACTCAGGTGAGTCCTGTCCATTACTCCTTATTCATAAACTCTTTCATATTTAATTCATGTTTTATTTTACTAATTTTAATTTTAATAAAAATTCATTTTATTAATTTTCAAATAAGTCATTTAATTCATAATTCATATTCCATATGAAAAAAACTTATTTATCAAGTCCTCCAGGACTCTGCCCACCACCAGCTTTCTCCAAAATGAGTTTTCTCCAAAATCTCAAATGGATCAGTCTTCGGCCTGCGTTGTCTGTGTCTTCAAAATATTAAGTTGAGGTGCTGGAGCAACAGCACAGCGGGTAGGGCATTTGCCTGGCACAAGGCCGACCCAGGTTCGATTCTCAGCGTCCCATATGGTCCCCAGAGCACCACCAGGAGTAATTTCTGAGTGAAGAACTAAGAGTAACCCCTGTGTATTGTCGGGTGTGACCCCAAAAGCAATATAGATAGATATAGATATATATCATATACATATGTATAAAGTTGAATTAGGGACCCAAATACATAGTTTTCAGAAAATATCTCTTCCTTTCCATAACAAGGGGAATAAAAAAGCAAGGAATTCACTTGATTTACTTCACCTTTGTATTTGTAGAAAATAATGTGGATATCTGTGCATTTATTTATTTATTTTGCTTTTGGGTGACACGCGGCGATGCTCAGGGGTTACTCCTGCCTTTGCACTCAGGAATTACTCCTGGTGGTGCTCAAGGGGGATGCTGGGAATCGAACCTAGATTGGCCACATGCAAGGCATATGCCCTACCTACTGTACTATCACTCCAGGCCCTGAGCACTTTTTTTTAAAATTTTTATTAGTGAAACACCATGAGGTTCAGTTGTAGACCTACAAATTTTTGTGCTTGGGTTTCAGTTATACAATGGTTGAGTACGCATCCCTCCACCGGTGCCCATTCCCCACCTCCAATGCTCCCAGCATCCCTCCCACCCCCTGAACACCCCATCCCACCCCACCCCTGTGGCAAGGCATTCCCTTTTGTTCTCTCTCTCCTTCTGGGTGCTGTGGTTTGCAAAAGAGGCATTGAGTGGCTATCATGTTCGATCTATAGTCTATTTTCAGCATGCATCTCTCATCTTGGGATGATCCTCACAACACCCTTTACTTGGTGCCTGAGCATTAATTTTAAAGCGATTTATGAACTTAGCATTTATTAAATAATAAATATCAACCTGGATTAAAAAGCATTTCTAACACAAGGGCTGGAGCGATAGCATAGCGGTAGGGCGTTCGCCTTACAAGCGGCCAACATGGCCGACCCGAGTTCGATTTCTCCACCCCTTTCGGAGAGCCCGGCAAGCTACCGAGAGTATTCGATATGCCAGACACAGTAACAATGAAGTCTCCAATGGACACGTTACTGGGCCCGCTCGAGCAAATCGACGATCAACGGGAGGGCCTTTACCTTTACCTTTACCTTTCTAACACAAATTCATTATATAAAATGTAGCACAAAAAACCAACAGGAACAATCAGCGTTGAGAAGCAGAAACATTGGTGGTGGGAAATGCACACTGGTGAAGAGATGGGTGTTGGAACAGTATGACTGAAACCCAATCATGAACAATTTTTAACTGTGTTTTTCATGGTGATTCAATAAGAAAAATAAAAAATAATATCGGCATGGATCAATAATTAAATCAAAAAGCATAAACATAAATATACATACAAAATTTAAAAATAACTTTCATATGTGTCAATATTCTAATGTAGTTGGAATGATCAGGAGCAAATTGATAGAGAAGTTAGTGTATGACATGATTAAATTTCCATTTACTTGAAAAGTATTAGCATGTCCACTTTCACTTGTACTGTTTTTATGAGAATTCTCTGAGTGTAAGAAAATGCTGATAAACGAATGTCTCAGTAACAAGATTATTGTTTCCTGGTCATCTTTGGAGGAAATATGTTGGTATGCGTCTTTGTTTTATTTTTTCCTTGGGGTATCATACCCCATTACTGTTTTTAAACAAAAATCAAGTAATTTGGGTTTGTTTGATTGTTGGAATTAAAATGAACCATTTCAAGACACAAATGTAGTCTATGACATGAATGAAACTTTTCAAATATTGATATCCAAGGTTAACAAAAGTCGATAGAATGTTTAACTGTAGAGAAGAAAAAAAATCTTCTGACCAGAGAACAAAGCTAAATATCAACAATAATATAAGATTCACAAAGTAACTGAAATCAAACTATCTTAATTAGTGAGAGAAATTAATGTTAAACACATAAGATACAACTCAGAGAAGATAAAACATGCATCCTCTGTTCCGAGGAATTTCTACAGTCACAGAACATCTGACATTTACGAACAAAAAAAAATTTGTTTTTTGGGAAAAGAATTTCTATAGCCCTGGGGTGGGTTTGGGGGGGGATGGGGCGTGGGGGTGGGAGGGCTACTAGGATCATTGGTGGTGGAGAATGGGCACTGGTGGAGGGATGGGTACTGGATAATTGTATAACTGAAACCCAAGCACGAAAGTTTGTACGTCTACAACTATACCTCATGGTGTTTCACTAATAAAAATTTTTAAAAATAATAATAATAACTGAAACCCAAGCACGAAAGTTTGTAAGTCTACAGCTGTACCTCATGGTGTTTCACTAATTAAAAAAAATAGAAAAAGAATTTCTATAGTCCTTTCTATGTCTTTATTTCTGAGACAGTAAAGAAAGGGGTTCAGCATGGGGGTGGCCAATGTGGGCATGGCTCAGCTGTTACACTGGACTGGGATTTGTGGGGCGCAGCAGAGCTCAGGGACACACCAAGAGAAGATCACTGAGAGATGAGATTCACAGCATGAAATGCTTTGTGTTTCCCCTGAGCTGATGAGATTCTACCTATGGAGGACACTTCCTATTCTATCCTATAGGAAGAGAAAAAGACACCAACCAGGGGTCCACCAGCAAACTGCACAGATGCTAAATAAACAAAGAAAAAAAAACAAGTGTTGGAGTTGGAGTGATAGCACAGCAGGTAGGGCTTTTGCCTTGCATGCGGCCAACCCGGGTTAGATCCCCAGCATCCTATATGGTCCCCCAAGCAACGCAGGGAGTAATTCCTGAGTACAAAGCCAGGAGTAATTTCTGAATGCAAAGCCAGGAGTCACCCTGAGCATCACTGGCTATTACTCAAAAAGAAAAAAAAAGATATAAACAGTCTTTTCAAAATAGCAAAGATATCTTATGGGCCCAAATGAATTTCAATTACTCACTTTTTTTCAGATGGAGATAGAATGTCAGCCACATTTCAGCAGAGGCCCAAAAGGATCAAAACTAAATCAAAGGAATTTTCTTGCATTTTTATACACATGAAATAGTCCAAATGTTCTCTTTTACCACGC